CTTCCTTCCCAAATATAGCTAAGATTTTTTTCCCCCTACATCATGTGCTGGAGAAAAAAACGTGCATAAGATAAACTGTCTGTAGGGTGCCTAGTATAGCATGCACAGGCCTCTAAGTTTGATCATCAGCACCACATCATCCAGAATTGGTGCATCCCTATAATAAAGCATTAGAGAGGTAGACATAAGAGGATCTTTTTTTTTTTAAAGATTTATTTATTTATTTATTTATTTATTTATTTATTTATTACAGTGTTCTGTCTTCATGTATGCCCAAAGGTTAGAAGAGGGCACCAGATCTCATTATAGATGGTTGTGGGCCACCATGTGATTGCTGGGAATTGAACTCTGGACCTCTGGAAGAGCAGCCGGTGCTCCCAACTGCTAAGCCATCTCTCTAGCCCCAAGGTAAGAGGATCTTAAATTCAAGGTCACCTTTGACTACATAGCAAATCCCAGGCCAGCCTGGGTTACCTGAGACCCTGTCAAAAAAACAGACAAATAAAAATACAAACAAACAACTCTAGGGGCTGGAGAGATGGCTCTTTAGGTAAGAACACTATTTTGTCAATACAATCTAGAATGACCTGTTATGTGCTGTGACATCCCCAGAGTGATGAACTGATGCCTATAAATTGTAAGATGAAAGAACTCTTTTTCCCTAAACTGTTTTAGTTAGGGTATGTGGTGGTTTGAATGAGAAAGATACCCTAGGCTTATGTATTTGAGTGTTTGCTTCCCAGCTGGTAAAACTGTTTGGGAAAGGTTAGGAGGTATGGTCTTGTTGGAGGAGGCATGTCACTGGGAAAGAGCTTTGAGATTTCAAAAGCCCATGCCAGGCCCAGTCAGTCAGTCAGTCAGTCAGTCAGTCAATCTGTGTGTGTGTGTGTCTGTCTGTCTGTCTGTCTGTCTGTCTGTCTGTCTCTGCCTACAACTTGTGGATCCGATGTGAGCTCTCAGCTACTGATGCAGCACCAGGCTGGCCTACCACCATGATAACTATGGACTAACACTCTGAAACTGTAAGCAAGCTCTCCTGTAACTTGCCTTGGTCAATGTGTTTCATCACAGCAATTGAACAGTAACTAACACAGAAGTTGGTACCAGAAGTGGGGTGTTTCTGTTACAGGCTTGAACATCTGTTTGTAGGAGAAATATGGGACCTACTCTTCTTCCAAGTCTTCATTTCCCACTATCCCATCTATCCCACTCCCAGCTCTAGCCCACAAGTCCCTCTTAACCCCAACTTAAGACTGGAGTTAGAACAATGTAAAAAGGATATAGAAAATTCCATATTCCAATATCCCCAAAGCTCAACCACATAAGGTCCTTCTCCAGCCAATGTACCCACTTGTAAGTGAGTTCCCTTAGGGGGTGGAATTGTGAATGTTCTATTTATTAGTTTTCAAGTAAGAAGCCTTAAAAATGCTTACACCTTTTCTAGACGACCCCTTTGGAATATCAAGCCAATTGGATCAATGATTGGGTCTTCAGGTTAATACTTGGGTGAATTAATGTCAATCCTGGGTGTTCTTTTCTCTGGAAAGAGAGGAAGGTAATTAAAATGGCTCTGATCAGCATCTGGGAGAGAACCTAGCTGGATCTAGAATCCTGGCAGTCAATGCTAAATACCCCAGTTAGGATTTCCAGTTGGGATAGTAACAACAGAGTATCCTGGGAACATATTAGGAATCTGAGGAACCTTATTAGGGAAATAAAAATCAGTTCCTGATCTCAGAATATTAACAAGGCTCTTAATGCTAAACAAGGGAGAGATGAAGGTCCCCTGAACTTAAAGGACCAAATGAGAAAAAACAAACAAACAAAAAAAAACTCTGGATTGAATCTAGAGGATTCCTCTGGTGACAGGATGTTAAAATTACATTTTGAGACCAACAGTTGACCAGACATTTCTAAAAAGTTACTAAAGATGGAAAGCTGGAAGGGTAGAGAACTTAAAGAATTGCTTATAGAAGCCTAGAAAAAGCATACTTGAAGGCGTGAGAAAAACCAGAAACAGAAAGCTAAGATCATGCTCTCCTCCATGTACCAAATGCTCCAGAAAGAGGAGCAAGGCTTAGGATCCCAAAAACGTCATCATGTTTTCAGGGAGTGAGGCCCCAGGGAGGCTTACAGCAGACCAGGAAAGGAGGAGAGGAGAAAACAAATGTTTCAGTGCGGAAAAGTGAGCACCACTTTAAGAAGGAATGCCCAGAGTGGAGTAAGGGTGAATACCCTCATAAATTGTAATGAAGATTTGGGGACAGGGATCAAAGGTTCTATTTTTCTACTGAGACCTAATGAGCGCCTTTAAAGATAGTTCCTGGAGAGGAAGAAATTAAATTTCTTGTTGATCCCATTCCTCCCTATTTAAACATCACCCAAGGATGTACCTTTACCCCAGAAAAACTGGTAGTAACCAAGGTGAAGGGAGAATTCTCTCCTCCACTTTTTGAGAAAAACCCCAATCAAATTTCAGGAAAGGGAAACAGTAACACAGCTTCTTTGTGTTACAGAAGCAGGAACCAAACCTACTGGTTTGGGAGAGATCTGATGCCCAACTCAGGAGCTGGACTTAACCATAATTCAGGATGAAGTCAAGATCTCCCTCAATTTGACGATTTCCTGGGTTGAAAAATGTTTGGGACCAAGTAGGAAATCAGTGTGACTTGCAGGGTCGTCCCATCAATCAGCTAAAACACTCTATACAAGTGGTTAAAGGAAGGCACTAACTATCCTATTCCCTTAGAGGGAAGGCTAAGACTTAAGCCTACCACTGAGCTCATAAAAGACAGACGTCTTAAAGCCTGTATGTCCTCCTTCAGTACCCCAATTCTACCAGTCAAGCAGTACAATGGTTCATATTGAATAGCCCAAGATCTTAGAGCAATTAATCAGATTGTTAAAAGTAAACACCTTATGGTCCCCAACACACACACACCCCTCAGAAAGAACCACCATCATATATTTAAAAGATGCATTTTGGGCCAGGCACACACCTTTAATCCCAGAACTTAGGAGGCAGAGGCAGGTGGATCTCTGAGTTCAAGGTCATCCTGGGTTATATAGTAAGCTCCAAGACAGCCAGGACTGTGACACCAAAAAACACTGTCTTGAAAAACAAAAAACAAAAATACCATTCGGGGTTGCACCCTTGCAACTGATGGCAGAGACCCTTTGCCTTTGAATGGGAAGACCCCCATTCCTGGAGAAAGCAACAATATTATTAATGAGCTTCGGTGAGTCTCCTGATGTTTTTTGGTCAGATACTTGAACACATTTGGAGAAATTCAGTCTCCCTACTCAGATGTGCCTACTTCAATATGTGGATGGTTCTCACAGATCTGAAGGGATTACCACCACCCAACTATTAGCTTCCTTGGCAGTCAAGGGTTGTGGGTATCAAAAAATATATAATTTGCAGAAAATGAGGCTAGATACTTGGGGTATCTAATCAGTCAAAGCCAAAGGTCAGAGCATGAAAGAACCAGTTGGGACCACATCCAGTGCTCTTCATTCACTCAGTGGAATGTGGTGCCATACAGCTTACCTGCATGCAACAGTAATGTCCACACAGACAACTTCATTTTCCAGGATCAATACCCCCATATTTATCTTTAATTTTAATATGACTAGTAATCCCTTAATTTATCTTGCTTGCTGATATTATTCACTCAGTTGGCTTTCTGTTTTGTTTAGGATAGGGTCTCATGTAGCCTAGGTTGGTCTCAAATTTGCTATGTAGCTAAGGATAACCTTGAATTTATCCTCCTGCCTCCATATCTGGAATACTGAAATTAAAGGTGTGTACCAAAATGCCCAGTTTTTACAGTGATGGGATCAAACCAAGGATTTCATTCATACTAGGCAAGCTCTGTACTGACTCACACCGAATCCCTACAGATGGATACTGATTTTCATTCTTTTAATTGGCTTCATAAAACCAAAGGACACTGGGCATAAGAACTCCTTAGTCATTGCATACAACACCCATGGCTCATTCATACATCTTCTAGTATAAAAGTACAATATAAATAAACATCATCAAGAATCTCCCGCTGTCTGCTCTGACACTGGGGCACACAGCATGGTGGGTGTGCAGGCTGGACTCGGGCAGCCCTGCTGCCAACTGGTGTCCAACCATGCTTCACTGAGAAATAGTATATTGAGTTGGAGAAAACCACAGCTTGCTCAACTTCCAAAAAAATAGTCGATTCTACTTGCTCTCAGAGAACTGAGTGGAGGCACCAAACCTCACAGGATAACCCAGTACATAGTAAAAAAAAAGGCAATACAGCCACCCCCTGCCAAAAAAAAAAAACACACAGTAAAAAAAAAATTCACACAAGTGTGCTGACAATCTTTCAGGAAAAAAAAAAAAAAGAAAACAGGAGTTACAGTTAAAACAAAAAGTAAAATCTGAAATGCTTTTTAGAACGTTTTTGGAGACATGATCTACTTAGCTCTAGGTGTTCAGAAACCTCAAACTCACAGAGCTCTGCCTGTCTCTGTGGTTCAAGTGCTTAAAAAACATTTAAAAACCAAACACTACAAAACAAAACAAGGACAGCACTTCTTTTAAAAAAAAGTCTTTTTTTTTTTTTTTTTTTTTTTTTTTTTTTTTTTTTTTTTTGAGTAATGAGGAGACCTGGGGGTCAGCAGTGAGGCTGTGTTGGCAGAAGAGAATGGAAATCACTTCAAAAGTGATAACACGACATTTGTTCACTGTCCGTGACTATCCAGTGGAGATCGAAAAATTAAATTACAGCCACCAGAAGAATCTCCAGCAGTTTTACTCTTTGTAGCCGTCATTGTTGTTACTGTTGGACTGGCCCTAAGCTCTGGTTTACCACAGCTGTCACTGCGTTGATGTCTCTGCAGCTCCTGCTCCTTGCCTCACAGTGGCTGCCCCCAAACCTTCAGTCTCCTCTATACCTAGAGAACCTATATTTAGTCCAGCCACTGGCAGAGCCACCTCAGTCCCCAGACCATCCACTTACTTGCCATTTGTGGCCACATCTTATCCTTAGCATCATCAATCCTCTCAAAGGTAACAAATCCAATCCCCTAGATCTCTGGGTTTCTCTTTTATGATAACCAATGAAGCGTTATGTCATATCTTGAAACATTCCATCAGCTGCTCTTTAGAGTTGAAACTTAGCCCTCTTGTAAAAACCTGAACTTGACTGATGCTAAGGTAGCCTGCTGTGCTGAGTCAGTCAGGACCCTGGACATGGGGAGTGGGGTGGGTGGAGACAAATGGGCCCCAGCCTCCTAACATGCAAGTCTGTTAGTAAAAGTAGATTTAATTTTCATTATGCCATCCTGCCTAATATAAAACAAAGTTTCTAAACTGTTTCCCACATTTATCACATTAAAAATGTCTTTCTTGAAAAATCTTTTTGATATGAATTAAGTATCTTTCAGATCCATCATTCAATTGTGGTTTCTCTCCAACTCGAGTTACATGATGTTGAGAATGGGATGACACTCCACTACCAGCTTTACCACATTCCTGGCGTTTATAGGGCTTCTCCCCAGCTTGAATTTTCTGATATTCCATGGATTGTGAGGAAGTGCTGAAAGTTTTCCCACATTCATTACATCCCCGGGATTTTTCATCACTTCGAATTGTCCACTGGAGAACAAGTTTTGCACTGTGGCTGAAGGCCCTGCCATGTCTCTCTCCAGTGGGCAGATGGCTAGAGTCATAAACAAAATCTGGGCCACACTCAAATTCCCGTGGGTTCTCTGCCATGTGAATCCGTTGATGCTGAGTGAGGGCTGATCTCCGGCTGAAGGCCTTCCCACAGAGACCACATTCATAAGGCTTCTCCCCAGTGTGAACACGTTGGTGTAGGGTGAGCTGGGAACTCTGGATGAAGGCCTTCCCACACTCAGTGCACTGATAGGGCTTCTCCCCTGTATGTACTCTGCGGTGCTGCATCAGGGTGGAGCTGCGGCTGAAGGCTTTGCCACACTCACTACACACATAGGGCTTCTCCCCAGTGTGAATCCTCACGTGCTCGGTAAGATGAGAATTGAAGCCAAAGGCCCTGCCGCATTCACTACACACGTAGGGTTTCTCTCCAGTGTGTACCCTGTGGTGAAGAAAAAGGCTAGAGCTCTGGCTGAAGGCTTTCCCACACTGACTGCACTTGTGGGGCTTCTCTCCGGTGTGGATCCTCTGGTGCTGAATAAGGCTTGCGTTTCGACTGAAAGCCTTTCCACACCAACTGCAGCCATGGGGCTTCTCTCCGGTGTGAACCCTCTGGTGCTGGGTTAACTGAGGACTCTGGCTGAAGGCTTTCCCACATTCATTACACTTGTAAGGCTTCTCTCCTGTGTGGATTATGCGATGCTGGATAAGACTTGAGCTTCTACTGAAGGCCTTCCCACATTCATTACACCCAAAAGGCTTTTCTCCAGTGTGGATTCTCTGATGCAGACGGAGATAGGAATTGAGCCCAAAAGTTTTCCCACATTCGTCACACTTAAATGGTTTATTCCCAGTGTGAATTCGCTGGTGAAGAATAAGATTTGAGTTGTGAGTAAAGGCTCGCCCACATGGACCACATTCATAAGGCTTTTCCCCAGTGTGACTTCTTCGATGCCGACTTAGGTCTGAATTATATTTAAATGTTTTATTGCATATATCACATTTAAAAACTCTCTGTCCTGTTTTGTTTCTTTGAATTGTAACAACACTTTGGCTTGCATTCAGGTGTCTATCAAATGCAGGAGTCTGGGCATTTTCTGGAAGTTGTTCCCTACATACTGGAGAGTCCTCTCTAGCAACTCTCTTCAAACTCTGAGAAGAACTTCCTTGGTTCCCTTCTCCCTGACCTTCATGGTCCCAAGCTTCCTGGAATTCAGGTGTGGGTGAATTAGCCCTTGGGAATTTCTGAGATATTGATTCTGGTGTTTTTACTTCTTCAAAACATTCCTGGTTTAAAATGGATAGCTCCTTTTCGGTCTCAGAATCTGTTAAACAAAACCACAAGTAAATTACTAGAGGTAACTAACCCCTTGTCAGCAGAAATCACATTTTTTTTTATGTTTCCATAAAACAATAGCTTATATTATGCCCCATGTGTGAAGATACACACCTTTAATCCTGTCACTTTGGAGGCAGAAGCAGGAGGATCTCTGTGAGTTCAAGGCTGGCCTGATCTACATAGGCCAGAGCTATATAGAACTCTGTCTCAAATAAATAAAAATAAAGCTATTCTTCAAAAGTCAGACAATTCAGTAGAAAAATGTGACAGAATCCAGAAATAAAGATGCCCAACAAATAGAATGAAGACAGTAATATTCATTAGTCACCAAACAAATTGCCAGTGTTAAATTTTAAATTAGCAAATTAATTTATTCACCAAATACTAGGCCAAGCATGTTCTAAATAAGGAAAGACTAACAGTCTCTGGTCTCAGAAAGCTCATGTTCAAATCAGGAAGACAGATAATGCAGTGATTGTTTTTTTTGGGGGGGGAATTTTTGAATCAGAGTTTTGCTATGTAGCCTATGACAGCATGAAATTCATGGTCACTGAATGCTGGTATTAAGTCATGTGCCACCATGCTTGGGTCAGCAAGTACATTTTTAAAAAGGAATGGATAGATCATGTAATATGGAAAATGCATCATGGGCTCCTGCTCAGTCTACATGGTCAGAAAACCCCAAGAGGAATAGTGTATCTGGAACAATTAAAGCAGCCACTCAGCAGTGGTAGATGCTGACACACAAATGCTGGAATGTGAGAAAGGTGTTGAGTCCAAGAATGAAAGAGTTCTCACCATGACTAGAGCAAGAAGTGTCGACAGAGACAGCACAGGCACAGGAGGTTTCACCCAGAGGCTGAGAAACCTGGACTTAAGAACAGATTACACATCTTTGGTCCCCAAATTACTCTTTAAGGATTTATCCAAGGATCAGAAGCTGGCTTCTGCAAGCATCTCATGAACACACTCGTCTATACATACACATAAAAAGTAAAATAAATCATTTTAAGAAAGAATTTATCCCGGGTGAATGTGTGTCAAATGAAGGGTCTTGGCAGTAACTGACATGCTTTTAATAACTGTGGGGAGATGAGAAAGGACACATGTTCAAAACCCAGATGATTGTCTAAACCCACTTTTACTCATATAAAAGAATTTCTTTCTACACAGTAATGGAAGAACACATAATTAAAGCAAAGTCTATGGTATATTATAAAAATGAATAAGTTCCAAAATTTGATATACAGAATAAATTAACTTTTACTGAGAAAAAAGCACATGAATGTGCTATTTCTTCCTTAAATATTTAGTGTAAATTGATGAAGCCATCTGGGCTTGGCAATTTCTCTGAGGAAAAGTTTTCAATTACCGAGTCAAGACTGAAAACCGGGTGCCATGGCACTCACATGGAATCCCAGCACTTGGGAGATGCAGGCAGGAGGACCAATAGTTCAAGGTTATTCTTGGCTACAAAGCATGTCTGGGCCCATAAGACCCTGTACCTCAAAAACCAAAGAGGAGGGCCTGCCCAATGGCTTAGTGGGTAAATGTGCTTGCTGCCAAGCCTGAAAGCTTGAGTTTGGTCCCTGAAGCATACATATGGGAAGGAAAGAAGCGATTGCAGAGAGCTGTGTCTGACTTCCACACACACACTGTGGCACAAGCCACCCACCTCTGCAACTCACTAACATCAAATAAATACAAAACCTTAACAAATACAGCAAAAAGAAGACTGAAGTGGTAAGAAACAATTCTTGGTGTTTTGGGGATTGGGTCTTGCTTACACAACTCAGCATATTCCCAATTCAAAGTATTCTCCCTGCCTCAGCCTCCCCAGGGTGAGATTGTACAAATCACTATGCTCAGAAAAATAAAAAAGTTAACCTAACGCTTTTCATTTATTTGTTTATATGTCATCTTTCCCCTGCATATCCGCATGCATCAATTTTGTGCTTGGTGTCCTGAGAGGCCAGGAGAGGATGCCAGATTTCCTGGAACTGGAGTTACTGGTGGTTATGAACTATTTGAAGTGGGTGCTGGGATTTGAACTTGGGTCCTCTGCAAGAGCAGCAAGTGCTCTTAACTGATAAACCATCTCTCCAGACCCCCAAAATAATTTCTAACATTTATTTATTGTGTGTGTAGGTCAAGAAGACAAATTATGAGTCTATTTTCTCCTTTAGTCATGTGGGCCGTGTGGAACAAACTCAGGTCCTCAGCCTTTTCAGCATGTGCTTTTACCTCATGAACCCAATTCCTTAGGCCTGCAAAGATTTTTTGAAAATAATAATTTTAAAAAGCAGTGATGCTTTCTGGTTTTTGTCACAGGTCCAGGTGGCCAATTCTGGTTACTGCAACAAGAGTGGCATATTGGACAATGATGGCAGCTTCAGTGGTAATGACTAACAGTGGAGGACAAAAACACCGTTACGTTACTTAGGAAACCTCTAGAAGGCAAGTCAAAGTATTGAGACTCTCCCCTTTTGGGAGCAACCACAGTCATCAACAAGGATGAGGGTGAGTTCATACATCGGACACCTGCACACTCCAGGTACTACTCAAGTATAGCCCTGGGACAGTGGGGTCGGAGTGTGATCCAGACCCCTTCCTCATTGCTATGAGGGAACTTAAGGCCCTAAAGACCCCCATGATCTCCCTCATTCACTGTTCTCTGTCAGATGGAAGCTAATTATCATTGTCAGCTGGAGGTGTCCTCCTAACCATAATCCTAACTTACATTATCTGAGAAATGATAAACGACATTTCAATCATTGCTCCAAAAGAAGCTTCAAAAGCAAGTAAGCAAACCTACAAACAACAAAACAGAGCCTACAGAGTGGACAACAATATTTTAAAAGTCAGGTGGTGGTGGCCACACCTTTAATCCCCACAATACAAACAACAAAACAGAGCCTACAAAATTTTAAAACAATATTTTAAAAGTCAGGTGGTGGTGGCCACACCTTTAATCCCCACACTTGGGAGGCAGGGGCAGGCGGGTCTCTGTGAGTTCGAGACCAGCCTGGTCTTCAAGAGCTAGTTCTAGGGCAGCCTCCAAAGCCACAGAGAAACCCTGTCTTGAAACTACCACCCCCCAAAAAAATAATGAAATGTAAACAGGATGTGCTTTGAAATTCCATCTCACTCCAGAACAGCTATCATCAGGAAAACAAATAAATAATGCTGGTGAGAATTCAGAGAAAGAATATATAAATTGGTAAATTCAGTATGGAAATCAGGACAGAGCCTCCTCAAAAATACTAAGGATCTCGTAATGGAATTTAATTTAGCTGTAAGGAAAATGGATGGAACTAGAAATCATTGTGTTTAGTAAAATAATCCAGACACATGGTGGCTCCATGTGATGCATACACACAAATGCAGATAAAACATTCATACAAATAAATCTAAAGAAATGTATTGAATAGACTTGGGGGAGTGTTATATGGTTATCACATACACGTGCCTGTTCACTGTTTTCTCTGACCTCACCCTGTCTTAGGGCATGTATCCGAAGCATGGATTTTTTCTGTTAATATTTCAGCCTTTTAAGCTTCTAGAAGAGTGAGGTTGTTGTAGATAGTTAGGACCACCTTGGGTCAAGAATCCCAGAGTGGTATTTAGCTCTTATGTCTAGTTACTTGCTTCCTAAAAGATGACATCATGAGACCCTTAATTGAAGAAGTTTAAGTTGTGATTGGTCCCTTTGTCTCATCACATTCACAACTGAGAGGTTAGTTAAGAGGAAATCTTTTATGGGCTGGAGAGATGGCTCAGCAGTTAACAGCACTGACTACTCTTCCAGAGATCCTGAGTTCAATTCCCAGCAACCAGATGGTGGCTCACAACCATCTATAGAGGGATCTGAGGCCCTCTTCTGGCCTGCATTTATACATGCAGACAGAGCACTTATCCTAAGGGGGGAAAAGCTGTGAACTTGCAGGAGTTAATACATCACTAGGGGCGAGTGTTGTACTTTTAAAGAAAGCCTCCCCAGGCGTTGATGGCGCATGCCTTTAATCCCAGCACTCAGGAGGCAGAGGCAGGCAGATCTCTGTGAGTTCGAGGCCAGCCTGGTCTCCAGAGCGAGTGCCAGGATAGGCTCCAAAGCTACGCAGAGAAACCCTGTCTCGAAAAACCAAAAAAAAAAAAAAAAAAGCCTCTTCATCCCCCCAGTTTGCACTTTTTCTTCTGTAGCCAGCCCCTAAGAATGCGTGGCTAATATTTCTACCTGACTCCGTATTGGGAATTTCCCACAATATTCTTCTTCTTCTTCTTTTTTTTTTTGGTTTTTCGAGACAGGGTTTCTCTGCGTAGCTTTGGAGCCTATCCTGGCACTCGCTCTGGAGACCAGGCTGGCCTCGAACTCACAGAGATCTGCCTGCCTCTGCCTCCTGAGTGCTGGGATTAAAGGCATGCGCCACCAACGCCCCAGGCCTTGCGCTTCTTCTTAGTCCTTAGGTGTAAGATGTGAACTGCATATAGCTATTGCTGTTCCTGTTGCTTGATGTCATGTCTTCCTGCCATGATGGACTCATCCCTTGGGAACTCTATGTCCAAACAAACCCTTCTTTCTATAAATTGCCTTGGTCATGGTGTTTTATCACATCAATAGAAAATCAATACAGACTCTCAGGCCCCATAAGCAAGTGACACTAAGTAACTTGGCACTGATAACTAATAATATGTTAGGAGGTAATGAGCAGCAGTTCAGAGCACTGGCTGTTTTTACAGAGAAGCCAGGTTCAATTCCCAGCACCCACATAGCAACTCCTAACTGCCTGTAACTCCAGTCCCAGGGGATCCGACATTCTCACACAAACATATATGTAGGTAAGATACCAGTACACATAAAATAAAAATAAATTTAAAAGCCGGGCGGGGGTGGCACATGCCTTTAATCCCAGCACTCGGGAGGCAGAGGCAGGTGGATCTCTGTGAGTTCGAGACCAGCCTGGTCTACAAGAGCTAGTTCCAGGACAG